TCGGTGCCTTGGGCATGCTTCCTTTAATTATTTGCACAAGTTATTTCCTAGTTTGTTTGTCAAGAGTGATGTTTCTCAGTTTAAGTGTGATGTTTGTAAAATGGCTAAGAGCCATCAAACTTTCTTTCCTCCCAGTTTAAATAAAAGTACCGTTTCTTTTATAATTGTGCATTATGATGTATGGGGGCCGTTGAAAATAGCTACTCTTGGTGGTGTTCACTAGTTTGTTACTTTTACGATTGTACTAGAATGACTTGGGTTAGTTTGTTAAAGTCAAAAAGCGAAGTTAGTTTGGCCTTTCAAAAGTTCCATAAAATGGTTATTGTGCAATACAATAGGAATATCCAGGTTCTTAGAAGGCAAATATGTTAATATGGAACTTCGTTCTTTCCCTGAACTGCATGGTATTGTTCATTAGACCACGGCTCGTATACACCTCAACAAAATGGGGTTGCCGATCTTATTAATCGTCTTCCTTCTCGTATGATCAACTTTCATACGCCATTTCAGGCTCTCTTGTCTCAGACTAGCAGTCCACCGACTCTAAATCTTTCCCCGCGAGTCTTGGGGTGTGTTGCTTTTGTTCACCTCTATCTTCCTGAACGGAATAATAAACTTGAGCCTCGAGCCATTCGTTGTGTATTTTTGGGTTATACCACTACCCATAAAGGATATTGTTGCTATCATCCTCTGAGTAAGAAAATTTTTATCACTCAAGATGTGATTTTCCATGATAATGAAATGTTTTTTGGATCCTTCGCGTCCTCACTTCAGGGGGGTACCGAAATAGTGAAGTTATGACCTAAGATAATAGTGAAGTTTTGACCTTTGATTACTTTCCCGTGAAACGAGCTGCACGAAAAGCAGCCATTGCAGTTATTACATTTGGAGTCCACGACATTTGGAGAAGAGCAGCAACCAACATGTTTTGGTGATCAGCCCACTGAGCTGCAACAAACAAATGTGGAGGAAGACCAGCCCACGGGTCCCACAAGGTTTGGGCTTGAAAATGAGTTGCAGCCCACTATTTGAGATGGAACCAAGCAGCAACCACAGCAATTGTCACGGGATTTTTCTCCCAATGTTATGAACTCGTCTTCTGTTATCTCTCATAACCAATCATTTTCTACATCGGATGCGTCTCTACTCCGTCGCCTTCCAGAGCGTATTAACTGAGGTATTCCCAAACCTACTTATGAGGCAAATCCTAAGTGTAAACACAAGTATTCCGCGAGTGAGCCAAATTCAAATTCAAGAGTGAGATATCCATTAAACAATTATGTGTCTACTTGTCACCTGTCAAAATCAAATAAGTCATTTGTATATCAATTATCTACTATATCTATTCCTAACAGTGTTGTAAATATGAAAAATTCCTTAAACAAGAACACGTGTACAAAATATATTTTGTATTAATTAATGATTTTGGGGTTACAATCTCTTTGTAATTTGATCCTCTAATTTGATCTCTGTAAGGTGTTGATTTGTGGATGTGCGATTGATCCAAGGGCTGTCGAGACTTGATCTTGGATGAACGGTTTGAAGTTTCTTCAAGGGCCGTTGAGGCTTGATCTTGAAGGTTGAGGGAAGTTTCTTCAAAGGGCCTTCAGGGCTTGATCTTTGAAGGTTGATGAACGGGTCTTCAAGGGGGCTTTTGGGCTTGATCTTGAATAATGGTTGTGCAGATTTCTTCAAAGGGCTTTTGGGCTTAATCTTGAAGAACGATTGGATGTGTGGATTTGTTGAGGTTGTTGATCCAAAGGGTCGTTGGGGCTTGATTTTAGGATGAACGGATGATGAACGATGAACACTTTCTTCAAGGGCCGTCAGGGCTTGATCTTGAGTTGGTGGAAGTTCTTCAAGGGGCTTTCAAGGCTTGATCTTTGAAGATTGATGAACAGGTCTTCAAGGGGGCTTTTAGGCTTGATCTTGAATAATGGTTGTGTGGATTTCTTCAAGGGCTTTTGGGCTTGATCTTGAAGGTTGATGGATGAGCGGATCTTCAAGGGCTTTTGGGCTTAATCTTGAAGAATGGTTGTGTGGATTTCTTCAAGGGCTTTTGGGCTTTATCTTGAAGGTTGATGGATGAGCGGATCTTCAAGGGCTTTTGGCCTTAATCTTGAAGTACGATTGGATGTGTGGATTTGTTGAGGTTGTTGATCCAAAGGGCCATTGGGGCTTGATCTTAGGATGAACGGATGATGAACGATGAACACTTTCTTCAAGGGCCGTCGGGGCGTGATCTTGAGTTGGTGGAAGTTCTTCAAGGGCCGTTGGGGCTTGATCTTGAAGGAGGATTTGACGAAGAACAAAAAGTGCTTTCTTGATCCTTTGGGATTTGCTTAAGAGCTTTAGAGTTTCAAGGCTTCAAGGTTTTGGTGTGATATAAATTCCCCCCCTTTTTCTCTTGATGGAGAAGCCTATTTATAGGCTTTGAGAGTGAATCACCACCATCCATTTTTTTTGGTGAAGTGAGTGAATGTTGTAGGTGAAATAAATGGAGTTGGTAGGTGAAGTAAGTGTGTGATGTAGGTGACATAAGTGTGTGAGGTTGGTGAAGTAAGTGGAAGTTGTAGGTGAAATGAGTGTGTGATGTAGGTGAAATAAGTGTGTGAGGTTGGTGAAGTAAATGGAAGTTGTAGGTGAAATGAGTGTGTGATGTAGGTGAAATGAATAAAGGTTGTAATTTTAATACATTGGTCAACATTTATTTCACTGAAATTTCAATGTCTACAAGTGTGCAGGAGGCCTTAGCAGATTTCCGCTAGAATGATGCAATGAACGAGGAATTGAGTTCATTGAAGAATAATGCTACCTGGGAAATAACTGACTTGCTAGTTGGAAAGAAATCTGTGGGATGCAAATGGGTCTATATAGTGAAATACAAAGCAAATGGAAAGGTAGATCGCTTTAAAGCAAGATTGGTGGCAAAGGGGTATACATAGAAATATGGCATCAATTACACTGATACGTTCGCACTAGTGGCAAAGATCAATACAGTTTGTGTTCTATTGTCCTTAGCAGCAAACCTAGATTTGCTTTTGCAACAGTTGGATGTAAAAAATGCATTCCTCCATGGAGATCTAACCGAAGAGATTTCCATGGACCTTCCACCAGGGTGTAATGATCCGGACATACGGAAACAAAAGGTATGTAGGCTCAGGAAATCATTGTATGGGTTAAAGCAATCTCTGAGAGCCTAGTTTGGTAGATTTACCAAGTCCATGAGGGCATTCAATTATAGGCAAAGAAATTGGGATCATACGTTATTCCTGAAACGTCAAAACAGAAAGGTTACAACTCTCATTGTATATGTGGATGACATGGTGGTTACCGATAACGATCCCGTTTAGTAAGCAGCCTTGAAAGATTATTTGTCCACAAAATTTGAAATGAAAGATCTTGGTTCTTTAAAATATTTCCTTAGGATTGAAGGGTCGAGATGCAAGTCCAGGATATTTCTATCACAAAGGAAATATGTTCTTTACCTGTTGGAAGAAACCGGTATGACGGTGTGCAAGCCAGTGTATACTCCATTGGTTGAAGGAATGAAGTTGGGTATCGATCAGAACCAAGTACCAGTTGATAAAGGGAGGTATCAAAGGTTAGTAGGAAGATTAATGTACTTGGCCCACACTAGGCTGGATCTTGCTCATGTCTTAAGTGTAGTTAGTCAATATATGCACAATCTAGGAGAACAACACATAAGTGCAGTTATGAGAATATTGAGTTACTTGAAAGGAAATCCTGGTAAAGGAATTTTGTTTTGGAAAAGTGGGCATTTCAGAATTGAGTGCTATACAGATGATGACTGGGCAGGATCGATGAATGATAGGCGCTCGACATCTGGGTATTTCACCTTTGTTGGGGGAAATCTAGTAACGTGGTGAAGAAAGAAGCAGAATGTCGTATTAAGGTCAATCGCAGAAGCCGAATTTAGAGGCATGGCACTTGGTATTTATGAAATCTTGTGGATTAAGTTTCTGTTATAAGATTTGGGGGTCAAACATGGTCAGCCGATGAAGTTATTTTGTGACAATAAAGCTGCTCGTGACATCGAGTGCAACATGATAAGACCAAACATGTAGAGGTTGACAGGTTCTTTATTAAAGAGAAGCTAGACAACAAAGTAATTGAGGTTCCTCCTATAGGAACTGAAGACCAAGTAGCAGATATTCTCACTAAGGCGGTCTCTAGTGACAAGTTCTTGAGGTTTCTAGACAAGTTGGGCATGTGTAACATCTATACACCAACTTGAGGGGGACTGTTGACTTGTATTAGGATTCCTACAATCGTGGGATTCCTACCATATTTGGTTTCCTAGTTTAGGATGTAATTATTCTTTCCTTATTCTGATAGGATTGTATATGATTGTATATATACCTTTGATTGTGATGAATATAATATATCATTGAAAAGCATTCTTTCTTCTCTCTATCTATTTTTGTATCTTATAAACTGTCTGCAGATTCTGCAGTCGGTTCCATAACCTGAAACTGATGTTTTTTGAGAGCTCTATTGTGCAGGTAAAAGACATTGTTTCACGATACTTGTCAGCGTACAATGCTTACCTTCCCACCCTTTACTCTGAAGGTCCAGAAGGGTCAGATCCCAGGCGCCTCATCCTCGTAGAAATCGATGAGGGAAGGAACCCTATATTTGGTAACTGTTAAAGTTTCAGAGAGACAAGTTAATGGTCCAACACTGATATTGTTCCTAACTTAACCACCTGCTAACCAGCAGGAGTAGGGTTTTGTCCTAAAAGGTCTCGGTGTAATGAGGAATGGAATTAGGTAATTACTCATTGTAAATTCTTTTGTCAAATTCCCGATGTGGGATTTCCAACACTAACTAGGCGAAATAATTTGAGATACGAGATCTATCGAAGCCCAGTTTTGAGTTCTTGGAGATGTCATTTGCACCGGTGGCCGGTGTTAGAGAAGCATCATGTAGTGGAAAAACATTTCAATGCAAAGAAATAATTTGTAATTACACTGGAATGAAAAGAATCATTTCTTTGATGCTGGCATTAACTTATGTTCTCGTAGACTCGATTAATTCGTAACATCAATGTAGAATTTATTCACTCCTTACTCAATATATTGTACATGTTTCGAGTGTAGAGATCTAAGGGCAGCAACAGCAGACCCCGTTCAAGCAGGACTCACAAGTCTCGTAGCAGCAACAACAGCAGCACAACGCGAACAAGCTGCAACACAAACGCAATCCAACCATAAACAGAAGTATAAGTTGAAGATGGAGGAGGAAAATTCGAAAAGCGAAGATTTAACGATTAAAACAAACCAAGCATAGAAGCAGCCTTTCTCCTCCTTGCGTCGCTGGACGTGATCGCAGCACGACATCCTTTGTCTTGGTGGTGCATTCATGCCTTTTCTTCTCTGATAGGAGGCTGCAGAAAAATACTTCAAAGGATACCAGAAAATAGCATATATAAGGGCTTTGTACAAAGGGTTGCAACTTCTAACTTCTAACCAGTTGGATGTTTTCTCACTGCTCCATTTATTTTTGTAGTTAGAAGAATGGAATATGTCCATCTCCCAACCTACCAATTTCACGTGGAAGCTTTAAATGTGAGCAGAAATATGTGACTTTCAGTTGAATGACAACTTCAAACACGGAGTTGTAATTGACACTTCAAAATAGTCATTCGGCACTTCCTTCTTTACGAGAAAAAAATTGAGATAATACAAGTGTACAATTAACAAATTGGTAATAAAATCTTGTAAGGATTTTGATTTTGGTGCTTGGTTGTTCAAATTTTGTGGCGCATAAAATAAATGAAGACAATAGCCTTGTTTTGATTACCCTTTAGATTCAACGAACGTTGAAAAAAAAATTGGGTGCTAACTTGAATATTTTATCCATGTGAAGGTAGAAGATGTAGAAATATGAAGAAAACTTTCCTCCTAATCCCCACAAAAATGGTAGAATTGAGAGGAACAAGTTTTTTCATTACTTTCCATCCTCTATCTGCACTTGGACAAAATATGCAAGTTGGCATCTAAATATTTATTAAACAGTCATTGAATCTAGTGAATTTACCCAAGCCAAGTCAATAAATGAGAGAACTAACCAAGAAATGATTGTTTTATTGACACTCTAAAATAGTCATTTTATATAAGAAATTTATTAGTGTGTATATAATAAAGTATACAATCCAGGTAAAAAGAAGAAAAAGTGTGATTAAAGGAAGTGCATTAAATACCAAAAATGGCAAAATGCAGACTTACAGAGAATTACAGACGGATCACTTTTATTTTTGTCATTTTTTTTTCTTTCTATCTAATCTAATCCAAACTCCCCAAACAAGAGAAAGCCTCTGTACATACATCTCCTTGTATTTTTCATTATTTCTCTCTCCCTCTCTCTCCCTCTCTCTCTCTCTCTCATCATATGTAAAACAGTAAAAGGCCTCTTTCAGTGTGTGCTTGTGCATTGCGGAGGCGTCCTCGGAGCTAATCCGATCGCCTCTGAGCTTTTCATCAACCGGAGCCGCTTGCATGTTTCCACAAACATTCTGTTCAAAGAAAAATGAAGGATCGATACTGAATAACTATGAACAATTTACTCAAAACATTAGAAAACATTAATTGTCTGGCTGTGGATCAGGATCGTCAATATTTTAAATGTTGCGGTCTTAGTCTTTATTCACAAGCTGACAACATTAGACAAGAGATTGAAATCTTACTTCCATGGGACATCTCCAACAAGCATCCAATCGTCATCTCTGTCTTCATAAGTTGGTACATATTCTACCCCATTTGCAGGGTCCATAAGCTTGCTCTCATTTAAGTAATTACCTGCAGTAAACATTAGAACTAGGACATGGGACCATGGGTTTCCAAAAAGAAGATAAAAACTACTGGTTTTCTAACATGGGCCGAAGCATATTATGCATTTGGATTCTCGGCCGTGAATGTTTAGCAAGTAGATAAAAGCACAGTACATATTATGCGCCGATTCATTCTAGAATTCTCAAAAAACTACAGATAGTGTTGTTAGATACATACGGATTGTTAAGAAGGAAAACATGTCCTCAAGACCACCCAAAAGCTGCTGATAGCTATTGTACATCTCAAGATCAACCTTGCGCAGATATGGAGCTCCATCAACTGCCACTTTCACATATTTGCAGCTCTTCATCAAGTTCTTCCTTGAAACTCTCACTGGTGGCCATCCAACCACTTGTGCCCTGAAATATTCACATAGAATTTTCATCACAACACATTGTAAAAATAAAATTAAAAGAAAACTCTTTTTAGTGTTCATGTAATTTTTTTACAATAAAATCATGTAGACCATCATATAAAATTTCCATCAATAACATTACAAAATTGAAAATTAAAGAAAATCCATTTCAGTTTTCATGTAAATAGTACAAAAAATTCATGTGAGCGTCCTTAAAACCCATTTCGGTGTTCATGTGGTCATCATAAAAAAAACCTCCCACCAAAAAACTCATAAGTTAAAGAATAGTCAGGGTTAGGCCAAATGGCCAACACAGTGTGTTCGTCCCTTTCACTTAGCTTCAATTCCCCATCATCGTAGATTAGAGCAGTTTCAAATATCGTAAAACATTTCAATTTTCAGGTAACTGAATTATACAATATATTCATGTGGACAAACTTACTTTGCAGCTGGAGCCTTATGAGTTTTGTCCCCACCATCAACAACACTATATTGACCACAACATTCCACCCCGGCTCCTGACGACGATGAGCTCGAGCTCCCAAAACTAATATCAACGGTCTCTGAGAATCCACGTTTCGAGCCCGAACCAGGCAACCCTAAGGTCAGCTTCGTCTCATCGTAGTTCAGTCCGGCCGGCGGCTGCTGCTTATTTTCCGGTGACATTTTGAGAACTTTTGCTTTGCTTTTACTTCAATGTGATGGAGTGACCAGCAAGTGTGGCCGGCCTCTTGGTGCCCTGCATAATATATAATGGTGAGAGGCAGAATGTGGCCGGCAAAATGATTCGGCCAGTGAGTAGAGGACACGTGGGTAGGAAAGAAAGGCGTGATTTATCCATGTTGGTGGCATTGTGTGATGGATTGAAGCGTGTGGTTTGGTGATTTCCATGCTTGAAACTCAAAGATTGGCCCCCGCGGTCGGTCCAGTTCTGACCTGGGATCCCGTATCATTATTTTTATTTTTTAACTTTGTTCTTAAGGAAAATTAAGGAAAATAAATTAAAAATTTTAAATTTTAACGATGAGGACAAAATAAAAAGTAAAGTGAATAGTACTAGAATTGATTTTTTAGTGTAAAAATATGGTTTTTCATTAAAGTGAACAGTAACATAAGCTTTTTGTAAAGTTTCCTTATTTTTATTTATATACATGAAAATTAAAATATAGTTATTGTTGCAGTTCCAAATTTATTAAGAATGTAAATACCTAAAATTCCTTAACCTTTAGTGTCATTTCAAATTGGTCTCAACTTTTTTAAACATTTCAAATAAGTACCCAACCTATTAAAAATGTCACTATCCATTATGCCCTAGTTAAAAATCGGTTAAATTAACTAGGGCTTACTTTGTCTCCAAAATCAATAAACAATCATGAAAGCATAACATCTACCAACGAATGGTCACTACCAGCCTCATGCCATCACCTCCAAATCCAACACAAAACCACTAACTTTTCACCCTCTAACTCTAGCTACCAACATCAAGAAGAAGGTGATGGAGATGGCTGAAATGATATGGACTGTCATGATGTGGCTATCGTCATCTTCACCTCCACAAAGAAGAATTGGAGGTTTTATGAGCTGAGAATCGGCATATGAGGAAATCACATATGCAGAAATAAGCTTCTTGAAACCTTATCTGAATTCTTAACCCTTTTTTTTTTGTTAGGAAATTGCCCCTCCTAATATAATTTCAATTTGGATCCATTTTTGATTCAATTCAATACTTATTTGTTCATGGGGTTCCATATTACATAATCTATGTTTGAAATTCAAATTTCGAGGCAACTAATATTAATGTTGACCATGATATACCCAATTGGTAGATTTTGAACATAACCTATGTTTGAAGAAATTAACTGGAGCTTAACGAATGTGACATTTTTCTACAACTAGCATTCAAAGGCTTTATTTTACTGAGAGAAAAGAGAGGGAGAGGGCAGCGACAGTATATCAGCATGCTTGTTAAGCTCCAATTAATTTTTTCAAACATAGATTATGTTCAAAATCAGTTATGGGCCGCAATAGAACATGTTGGTGGATTTCTACAACTAGCATTCATAACATGTTATTAGCACACTCACGTGGCTGTGCTAAGGAACTGAAAATTCTTGGAGGAGGTTTTTCTACAACTAGCAATAAAGGGCTTTCCTCGTTTCCATCCAATCCAAGTTCTTTTAAAACACAAAATCGATAATTTATAAGCCCTGATAGCATGAAAACATTCATCACGATACACGAACTCTAAATTTATCGTTGCTTTATATGCCTATATTTTGCATAAATTGCTCAATTATATATTGTTCATACATACACAATATTATGTTTTATTAATATATATTGGATATTTCTAAGTTTAATTGTGTAATTACAAAGAAAATAAGAAAATAGAAGCAAAAACTAGTTTTTTTTTTCAGAAAAAACCTTAATCGCGCTAAGTCGAGGCGCGACCTGAAGCTGTTAGGTTGCCTCTTAGCCCAAGCCCCTATTAGGCTGCTTCCTGCTTCCAACCTGCACTGCTGGGGGACGCTGTTCACGGCTTACACCCATCCAATTCTGGTATGGTATGAACGTCTATATTTTTGCTTCCACAACTTGCACCTGTTTTGTCTCGGTCTATTGAATTAATTTAAGTGATAATCAATCCATAAATTAGACAAAAAACATATTTTTGGCCCGCAACCCACTTTTGCCAAATTACAATTCAATATTTTATTATCTTATTTGAACCATTAATATCATTTCGTAGCCTGAAGCTACTCGAAGCAACCCAAATTCTCTATACTAAGTTGTATATTATACATTTATTTGAGAGATTGGTTGAAATGATCATTTTTCAAATCTGAATTGTTGAACAATATTCGATCCATATGTCATCAATGTATGATCTTTATTAGACATGACAATTTCATACACAACTCATTAAATCGACACGAAAATAAAAGGTTTCAGGTCAAGGCTTTACGGGTTAGGTGAGTTATTGGGTCAACCCGTTAAGTATCCGTTATATAACAGGTTGATTCACATTAAAAATACGTTCTTTCACAAACTTTTCAATATTACACAATAAATTCACGTATTTAGACACATTTAACATATTTTAAAAAAAGGCCAAATTTTTCAAATTATTTTTTAACAAAGTTGTAGAACAATTTTCACGTACTATATTTGTTTCTTATATCACATACTATACCCATTTTTTATTTTTCATGTAATATGATTGTAAACACGAAATGCTAGTGACAAATGAAACAAGAATACGTGTACAAAGTAATATTTGTATTAATGAAAGTTTAAGGTTACAATCTCTGATTAAGAAAATGTTAATCCTTTGATTTGATCTCTAGAATGCAATGTGTATGTGTATAGTGGTAGATTCGAGGGTCGTAGAGACTTGTTCTCGAACCAAGGAACGTCGCAAGAGTTTGGCTTAGTTTGGTTTGAGGTGATGGAAGAAACGGCATGTGTAGTCGTACTTGATGGTTCTTCACAAGTGTGGTGAAGAATACAGAGAGCTTTTATGAGTCTTTTGAGTGTGTAGAGTGTTTGGGAGTTTGAGCTTCTCAGGATGTGTGGGTGTGTATCTCTTCTTTATCTCAGAGCCTCACATTTATATGCCTCTCCATGTCTTGATTGAGGCTTGATTTGGTACTGATTTTGGACTTGATTAATTGATGAAAGAACCAATACTTGATTTGGACTTAATTTGTTGACGAAAGAACCAATACCTCGATTTGCACTTTGATTCGTGATTTGATGAAATCAAATAATCTTGATTCAATTAAATAATCTTTGATTTAATGAAATAAATCAATCACCTTTCATCCTTAATTTGGTCATCCTTAATTTGGTCAATCTCCCTGAGTTGGCGTTCATTTCATTTGTTGATTATTTCCTTTAATTAAATCAAGGTTAATTAAAGATAATTCCTTAACTTTTTTTGCTAAATGTTGATGCGTGTCACTCTTGATGATTCTTTCAGTTTTGATGAGTCACATGGTATGCAACTTGTGAGACTTACAGTGAGCGTCACGTAAACCCTTGCAAGTCAAAACTTTAATTTGTTGGTGATAATTTAGGAATCTACAACGATATGTTTTGAAAGTAATAAATATGTGGCATTGTAGTGCTTAATGAAATTGTAGTTGTATTGTTGATCAAAAGGAGCTTGTGAAGTCAAATGTTAATATTTAGTAATTTCATACGATATTTTTTTATGTGATTATTTATTTAGTGACGGGTGAAAATGGTTCAAGTTGAGTAACCCCTTAATTTTAACGGGTTAGATGGTGTCACGACATGACTTGTTAGAATAATGGGTTTGACACAAAAACAACACGAACACGACAAACACAATTTGTTTGCCTGTAGGTCTCTTCATATCGTCGATATTTAATCGATCATTGGTATTTAATTTTGATTTGTTCGTCATATTGAAATTAATCTATGATTATTTTAGGGAAGTATTATTGGCACTCAAAAAATCTTATTCTACACTCTTCACCTTTCCAAATATAGAAAGTTTGGAATGTAGAATGAGATTTTTGGAGTGCTAATAACAATTCCCTTATTTTATTACATTTCTCAAATTATTTTACATATAAGGATACTTGAAACTAAAGATATAGTCAAAGTATCTAGGAGTCCGGATCCTCGCCAGATCATCTTTGTGAGGATTTCGGGGATCAATGAATCATGTCCATTCATCGTACATTGTGCGGTCAAAAATTATTTTAAATATTTTTATTTAAAAATAAACATAAATAATACTTGATAAAAACTGACTGCACGATGTATAATGAACGAACATGATTCACGGATTTCCAAGATCCTCATCAAAAGAATCCGAAAGGAATCCCGTTGGAGTACCTAGAACATCAGATAAAACGTGTGAAAAAAGAAACATTTTTCAGAGTTACTCTATCTAATCAAAACTAGCGGAGAAAAATTCAATGTTGAATTCAGATGTGAGACTACACTAACCTTGAAGATATTATGGGTTTGATATTGTTTCAAAATGACATCACATGGAGTGAAGGGGAGTAGATATTTTAGGTTGAATTATCCCACAATCTGCTCTAAGCTTCAATCCTTGAAGAAATCTCCATGCTCCTTCCTTTTTTGTTTTTTATTTTTATTTTGAGTATAACGATCTATTTTACATTAAAGAAATGAGGGATTTCAACTAAATCATATAATGGACAACCTAATTTAGTATCGAATTCGTCGTCCACGAAATTCGAACTTAAAACCTCTCACTTATATGTGTAGAGAAATATCATTAGACTGTGGTACTAAATGATCCCAGTCAGTTAACAACCGACCGTTCTACCATTAAGCTACTGAGGAACATCGGACTTAAGGAAGCTGACTTCTTCCTTTATTCGAAGAAGTCATTAGGAATGGAACCAGAAAGTCGAATGCAAAAGAAAAGTGCAAAATAGGCAAAAATGAAGACTTTGAAAGTAGAAAAAATATTATCAAACTGTAGTACTGACGGACCCATGCTCCTTCCTTTGTACAACACTGTAGACTAGCACAAGTCTAGAAGGTTAAAGGAAGCCGTGAAGTGAAGGGAAGAAAGAAGGAAGGGGAAGGAAATGCCTCTAGGGGCAAGGGACCCACATGTCATTGTCCTTGTCTCAAGTATTTATGTATATGTCAACTTTGTGGACGTTTCCATGTGCCTCAAAATTCCTCAAACTCAAATGTGACCGTGTTTGTTTGTC